ATTGCACAATCAGAAATACTTTTGCCAAAAGTCTTGGGGGCCAAAAAATATTGGGGGGGGGGGAGAAATTCCTCAGAAAGCAAAAATCCCCCCTCCCCACCCCACCCCCAAAAATGACAAAGCCCATCCCCCACACAGACACCTCCGTTGGTCAAATATTCGATGTGGTAGGAGCATCGTAACAACTCGTCTTCGGTTGCAATGAAGCGAGTGCACCTTTTTTTTTCTAAAGTTTTACACTCAAAATTAGCTAATTCCAATAGAAATTGCAGACTGTAAAAAGACAAGTCATTATTAATGATTTCTTAATTTACCTATAATGTGTACAACCTCAAGACTTTCCCTGGACACAGTGTGCAGCACTCCAAGTGACCCAGTATGTGATTAAGTGTGAATGCTTGAGGGTCATATTAGCACTAATCTCTGGGTTCTTATAGTTTTCTAAAGTATTGGAGGAATTAGTTGTGAGTTATGCTACGAGAATAGTTTGCGTCATAGAAAGTCAGTGACACACAACCGCTTCCAACCATTACAAGATCAGTAATAACAAGATTCTGGATATGATAATGTACACCGTAAAATCTTGGCAGTTGTGTGCAGATTTCTACGGGCTTGAACGTCATTTACTCGGCGAGAATGAGAGTTCACTTGATATGAGCATTTTCACCAGCCTGGTGGAAACCTCCAGTATACAAGCACAGCATGGTTTGAGGGTGGCTAGCTGATATTAGCTTGTCAGGTATTGGAAGTTGTCAAACTACTTTGAAGCCAAACCTAGTTTAACACTTAATACCTTAGGTAATATCGAGCATCTAGCCGAATTTAAACAATGATATTTGTTGTACTGTACCTCATACATGTGGCATCACTGAGCATTTGAAAGTGTTTGACACTTACTTGAGCCACAATCCTTTCACGTGTAGCTAGCTAGGGTCTATATTCATGTTTTGGCACTTCCCAGAGGGACAGTCCCAATAATGCTTCACGAAGCGCACTTGCCCCAGGTTAGTTACTCAGCAGTCTACTATGTTTGTGTGTATTTGACCCCTTGTGGATCATAAATATGTATGAGATATGGTTATTGTCATCTGATTATAGCAAAAAAGTTCGGTTTTGCTCCTCAGCATGACATGGCTGAAATCACTTTGCGTTTTCATATTGACTCGGTTGAAAGTTTTCAGTTTCTCTGTCAAGTTAGGAGGTAGATAACTTCAGGCCTGTACATGTTTTCTAGAATTGTCTTTGTATAATTCACATTAACTAATATAGTGCACTTTCGGTTTATATTACCTGTAGTCAATAATCAAACTGTGTACTGTACGTACATGGACATGTTGTTAATTTTCGAAATATATCAACTTCTGATTTGTTTATTACAGATTTTAAGAATGATGCTTTGATGAGACCACAGAAGTATGCAGTTGTCTCCACATCAAGAGCAAAGTAAAGCCAAGAATTTTTGGGAATAATTCCTTGCTCTTCAAATCAACAAAGAAAATCCACGGGCTTGTGGGTTGTTAGCTTTCTTGTTTCAAAAAGATATTTCTGCCATATTATTATTTTGACATTTCTTTTGTTGGTTTCCTTTGGTAGGTTAGCGTTCTTTGACATCCATACAGAGTACTTGCAGTGCACCAGTCAAATAAAATAAAAGTTTACAAAGACTACATTCTTGCTTGATATAGTCCCTGATTTGGCGTCATACTTTTGACATACTCAAGAGATTTGCTCATTGCTTCAAAGACCTCCATTTAGTAATAAAAACTATTCAAAATTACACTTACATAAGCTATTGCTAATTTCCCTTCTTGAAGTATGTGAATGTATGGCCGCCTAGTGGTTGTCAGGTTAATCTAAAAAATGAGTAGACCTATACGATCGCAGGTTCAAATCCCAGCTGGGGGAGTCATGCTGGCGATTTGTAATTTTATTTTTACTCCAAAGTCCTAATGTCATAACATTTTAAATCAAATTCAAAGTTCAACTGCAGGATGTGGGACTAAGTCTGATTTCTGTCTTGCGATATGAATTCATGGTTACAATGTTAGCATGAAATGAGACGGAAACACCGAACACGTTAAGTTTCCATGATAGCAAAAACAAAAAGAAGCAAGTCAGTACTTGTTCACAGTCATATATCCTCTGCTCAGAATTAAGGATTTCAAAGCAATAGTTTAAAAAATTGATCAATTTTGAAGGTGTGCTTCTGATCAATCTTGGCCCAACTGTTTGCATTGTTTTAAAGTTGATAGCCTTGTAACCAGAGTTGCTGACTCGAGTCTTCATTTTTGTGACGTGACTTGTAAATACCAGCTTTGACTTGTGACTTGACTTGGACTTACAAAAAATGACTTGTGACTTGACATGGACTTGCAAAAAATGACTTGTTACCAACCCAAGTCAGACGTTACTTGACCATCCCCATATATTTTTAATTAAGCTATTCAGTTAACGTCTTACGTGCATAAAAAATGGACTTCGGCTTGGGCACCGGCTTCTACTTAGCCCAGCTGCAGCTGTAGATCAGGGCAGCATGCATATCATGCTGCTACGTTGCGTTGATGCATGACCAGGATAAACAGCGCCCTCAATATCGTTTCATCTCAACACTTCCACCCTGCAAAGTACATTTGTTAAATTAAAAAGAGTTCCAATATAGGACAAAGTATGTGATAAACTGCAAGAATGGTAATTACAACACAAGTGAAAAGGGGGAGTTACCTAGGCATTGTCAAAATAATTGGAAAAAAGGTTTTCAGCTGTCCAAAACTCATCTCGTAACTTCGCAAGTTGACGCCTGGTTCCTTTTGCTTATTACAGCTGGACAAAATGATGTGCAGCTCGGATTAAGTGACTTGTGGTTAGACCAAATGACTTGACTTGACTTGCCCTGTGACCAAATGACTTGTGACTGGACCTAATGACTTGTGACTTGGACTTGCAAAAAATGACTTGCTGCCACCTCTGACTGGGACAGACATGCCTGTAGATTAATCTGGGAGAACATCCATTCACTGGGGAAGAACTTCCCACTCGGCCAGCTAAGCATTTCAAACAGTATTGAAACACTTGCCTGACATTTTGCACTGGGATGAGTAACAACCCTCAAATTTGCCTAATTTCCCATCAAGCCAGCTGAACGGTCAGGAAATATTTTGCCTAACTGTCTTTTAAGCCAGTGGATGGTCATCAAAATATTTGCCTAACTTTGTACCAAGCTAACGATTGGACACTATTTGCCTAACCATCTATCTTCCTAGACATCTAACAGTAAACTTACTCGTTTCTCTAAGCAGCCATGGTCGAGAATCATTTGCCTAACTCCACTGACCCAGCTGCAGAGGTTATGAGAAATTGCCAAATCTTCCACTGACCCAGCTACACCGTAAAGAGATATATGTGATTTGCCAGTTACATTTTGATATGTAATTGCACTTGCAGTCAAGAGCAGCTTACCGTTGTTATTTTACAAATTTACCCAAAACAGCACTGTAGCAAGAAATTGGGGTGAAAAAAGGATCACTTTTTTAAACATGTTCTAAACCTCCCTCTTTGGAGTCTTGTTGGCTAGTTAGGTCCATGTCAATTTTCTCAACTCTTTTCACAACGTCGAACTGGCTTGTAGTATGGCTGCTCATACAGTGAAATGTTGGGCAACTTTTTCAAGATTGTTGAACTGGCTTGACGGGCAGGCCATTTCACACCGACCCTTTATGTCCTCCATGAAAAACATTGGGTAAATGTTTCAGGACCGTTAATGTACTGGTTCGGTAAGGCAAATTGTTTCAGAACCGTTTGTTCCACAGTGGAAAATATTAGACAAATTGTTTTGTGACTATGAGGTGGCTCATTGTCAAGTTAGGCTAAAAGTTGCTGATTACATGCATTCTGAGTATTGATGGATCAGTGGAAAAGTGGCATTAAAACTTCTTAGTAATTGTTAGTGAAAAGTTAGGCAACCTGTTTATGACTGCCAGCTAAGAAACCCAGACGAAACATATTATCACTTTGTTTAAATTATTTTCTTGTTCTTTTTACCTCACACTGTCACGACTTGATGATTCCAACGGCCGAAAAAAATGAGTTAGGGTCTCTCGAAATGAAGTCACGCTTACAGTCAAACGAAGTTACATTTTCTAAAACAAAATCGTAGGATTGGCGCAAAGTCCTAAGCGTGGAACATTTACTGTGCGGGTTGTGTAGCAAGGTGGGTCGTATTTTTAATTTTGAAGATGTATTTTGCTTTGAATTAAAAACCACACTTACTACTGCGAAGTATTTCGAAGTTCTCCTCCAAAGACAAAACATTTAAGCTCTTCTACCTCTCGTAAGAGTGAATAGCTATTCAACCTTCTCGGAACCGCCAGCCCTATTGAAAAAAAATGGAGTAGACCAAAATTCAAGATGGCTGCGCCCACCAATGAACCGATGGAGCACGTGGGATCACAGAAAATGACCCAAACCCAAAGAAAAGCAGTGATTTTGAACATCAAAGAACACGAAAAACTCTTTCTCGAAAGCAGGGAGCATTCTAACTCCTTGGTGGAATTATTGGAAATTGTTCAGGTGAGATATATAGGCTGAAATTCAATCCTACGGGAGTGTGTGTGTTCGATCACGCTATCCATCGTTGAATTAAACGTATATCCCTCTATTTCCGACATTGGCGGCGGTGTAAATATACATGCGTCCCAAACCATTGCTACTTTGGGAAATTCTTACCAACATTTGCATTTGAAGACATTCATATGGGAAAGAGTTCCATATACGCACAGTACTAATTTTCCCTTAAAATATTTTATCAGCCATCAGAAAGTAATAGCCCTAACATTTTCCAAAAAGTGAAATTTAGCTGAGAACATTCTGAAGCATATTTTGTTACAGACTTAGAAAACACATAGGTTTTTGGTATTCATTACCAGATAACCTTCAGCACCCTGTTCCTTCAATAAGGAAACAAAGTCTACTTTCTCAAACTAACTAACATTTTGACCCTTATTAAGGAACCATTACTAAATCCTGATAGGCCCAGTTTAGGTAAATTTTGACGGAGTTCATTACCATTAGCACCCTGTTCCTATAAGGAAACGAAGTCCAAATTTTCAAGCTAACCGATATTCAGACCTTGAGGATCCAGTCCTTAATCCTAGTTGTTCTAGTTTAGGTAAATTTTGACAATATTTAAGCAAGAAAACCAGAATTTTTTACCCAACTTTGGTAAAAGATGACCGCATCACACCATTTTGTTTCACGTCTTGTTACCCGACTCAGCCATTGTGGATATACTAAATTTCATAGAAGAAACTTTTATGGTTCCAGGTCAAGGAACCAGACTACAAGCGCTGATTCGTCTTTGTTCACAGCTCTTCGTCACATCATTTACACTGCCGTTTTACCCCATAATATCCCTCAAAAACCAAAAGCCCTGTTCTCTTTTTTTTCTAATATGAAAAAGGACATCACCAACAACTTGTCTAGATATGTTTTTTGAAAAAGTAGAATTTGTACATAGGAACAGGGTGCTAAAGGTTATGAACACCAGGTTTTTTGAGACAAGTCTCGTAGGTTTGTCTACAGGGACAACAAGTGTTGTCCATATATGGAACTCTTTCCTTTTTATTGTACATGTTATACTTATAGGAACAGGATACTAAGTAAAGGAACATGTGAATATCAGCCCTAGTTCATGCCAGTTTGAACATGGAAAAATCACCTGTACAGTAAACTTGGACTACAGTCTTACAGATCTCGCTACTCAGTTAAAAAAGCTCTCTTTATACCTCCATGCACATGCAGAGTTTCCTGTGTGGTAGAGTATGAAAACGGAAATCGAAAATCATAAAACAAATGAAACTTTCCACTTTGGTTTTCAACAACAGTCCGATGACAAGACAGTTGCAACTGCAGCAGTCAAAAGTCTCCACAAGATATTCTCCCGGTTGCTCAGTAAAGATGCGCTGACCTCTGACACGCCGAGGACGAAGTCCATGAAGGGAAACAGGGAGACGAGAGAGGCTACTGTGAACCCGGAGGAGCAGTACAAGGCCTGGCTGCAGGCCAGGTACCATGACTGTCTCAGGTGCTTGGCGCGGGTGATTGACACCTTCACAGATGCGCCTGCACTTCAGGTAGGCTCATTTGTCTCTGAAGCAGGTAACAGTCCAGTCTGTACTGTCATCTAGTTGCAAAGGCAAACGGGGGTGGGAGGGGCAAAGGAGGCCATGCCCCCCAACAGTGCAGCCAAGTTTTTAATCAGTGAGGGAAAAGCACGAGGGGGGTGTTTTGTTCCCCCTCCATTCAAAAGCGTGTTAAAAACCCCCAAAGTTAGCCTCCTCAGTGGGGTTCCTAAGGCATCTTCTGTATGTTTGTTACACAACTCGTTCATCCTCCCCTGTACTTTGGGGCAGGGCTGAGTTGTTTGATCCAGGTTTTCATATTTCAGGCAGGCTTCACACTCTGATACGAGAACAGGCATAAATAAATCGACCCACAGTCGCCAAAATGACGTCACCCTCTGCATAAGGCCATAGGAATATTTTCTTTTACAGTCGCAAGTTCAACAACAGCGAGTGAAAACAGAATTTGCTATTTTTTTCCCCAGACTGTTAGATTTTCATTCTTTGGTCCACAGTCCATACATTGTCAGGATCGCTGATCTTCTCTCCACTGACCATTTCATAAATTAGAAGAGAGATTGCCCATAATAAGCTATTGTTGGATTCTGCACAGAAGGCTGCAAGGCAAAATGAGCCCATGTCTACAGTCTTTAGTTCAACTAGAGTACTCTTTTCAAAGATTTACTTTGAATCGAGGAAATTTTAGCAATTTTTATAATAGGTTTTTACCCTTAGCCTGACCTATAATCATAACACTGTGTTGTCAAAAACCTTGCCAAACATTTCACAAGCTGACTCGAGTAGGACTCGAATCCTTGCTGCTCACTAGTGCGGATGGCAACCACCGAGCTTAATGGGGTTGGCTGGCCAGTTTGAGTCAGATGCAGCAGTCGGCACTGCAAAATGCTCCTCTAAAGGTTGTGTCCAAAAGCTTGTAAGCATTCAGCACTGTTTAGTTTCCTTTCCTCTGCTTTTATTTGGCAGGAAATAACCCTGTGCAGCCTCATGAAGCTTCTCCAAACTGAGTCCAACCACCCTCTAAGGAAGAAGGACTTGGATGGATACACATTCCCCATCAGTGTGTTGGCGGTAAGTTTGAACCAGCAACTGTAATAATGGTTTCTTAGTCAGTACCCGTAGTTTTGATGATGGGTGATTTCAATTGTGGGCTGAGCCGGGAATCAAACCCAGGCCATAGAGGTGGAAATGCCCACCTGACTCCTTGATGCCAAAGCAGTCCCCAGAATCTTTTAATCACCGCCTTCCTTGTTAGCACTGGAAAGTGAGCCACTTGATATAAATATGATGCCCTATGGCATCACTTCTCTGTTTTCAGAATTAGGAAATAACACTCAACCACTGCAACTTCTCCTTAGTTAAACTGGTTATTCAAACTTACTTTATAATTTGGTGACTTTTCCACAAGTGGCTCTGTTTTCTGCCCAAAGGAAGATGTATGTAATTTGTTTTAATTGACATTCTGCTTCTGAATTTTGTTATCATTTCATGTAAAATTTTTTTGTCCTTTCCTCCCAAGCATGTTGTTCCCAAGCTTCTCTCTAAGGACACAGACATGAAGGACTTGATTGGCCGGTTCCAGGAATATCTGGAGTATGATGACATCAGGTTCTACGCCCTGAGCCAGGTCAGACAATACCTGGGCCAAATTGTCAAGAAAGACGACAAACAGGTGAGGTCCCAGGCCCAATTTCACGGTGCTGCTTTATACTGTAAAGCAGAGTTTTTTGCTAACCATAGCCCCAAAATTTCCTTTTTGGGAAGCGTATTTCACGGCGAACATGTCACCATTGCTGTGCTTGGCACATGAATTACATGAGTGTGCATAGAGATTCCCATTCTTATGTCACTAAGTAAGCAAACTATACCTCCGAGGTCAGTGTGCCCTGTGCTATACTTTAATACTGCTGACGGTCTCCATGAAATTTGCAGAGCCTCTGTTGCTGTAAAGTTGTGTGCTTAGCAGTGCCGTTAAATTGGGCCCTCGACATCAGAGGGTGGACATCTAGTGCTTTCAGTGTGGAAGAGTATGGAAGGAGACCTCTGATTATCACTTTGAACCAAATTAAAAGTTTGCAGTGTGTATTTATATGTAGGGCCCCATTGTTCTATCAGTGTGAGTGCGCGATCACGTTGCATTGGCGGCCAGTTGACCAAGTATGAAATCTCTGACTTCACTTCCCCTTTTTGAAACAATCTTCCGCGAGTACAAATTGGAAAGAAAAAGTTATCAGCCGATGGCAGAATTATTGGCAAATCGTGGAACAACATTGAATGATAGGGCAAAGATCAAGCAACTGCGCAGATTGACTGACCAAGCCCATCAGCTTTGTTGGCTGATGTAAATTGTCATATTTCTGCTATAATTCTATAAATGCCAGCTTCCAGACAGCTGACTTCATTTTGTACATTTCCGGTTTATGCTCAGGACCTGACTGTACTCTGCAACAACACATTTGCCCTGCTAGAGCATGTTACCATGCCGACAGCGGGGGAGGACATTGGCAATTTCATGTGCAGAGCTCCAGGGGAAGATGAGGAAGTCAAAGTGACGTCTCTTAAGGTACCTTCACCCTGACTTCCTTGTGAGATGCTCTCCCATATATATCCAATTCCAACCAATGGCGTAACCTCTATACTTGAACGGAATTAGTCGAAGATGCCAAATAAAGTTTATTACCAGCTTAGATCGGCAGTTTAGAATGTGATATAATCATGCCAAGATGATGATGGATTTTTGCCAGTTTGGGGGAACATTGATATGTGATGGAGTTGGGTGTTTGGATGTAACTGATGTATTCTGAAAAGCTCAGGTTGGAAATAATTTGATGATACGTGAAACAAGAGCTTAAAACCATGAAACACTGGTGTAAAATTGGATCGAATATGTGACAGTTTGCTATGAAATGATGAATTTTTAAAAGTAATTTGAGATTGGTCAAAACTTGACTTGAAAGTCTTCTGAAGCTTTTATTTACTAACTGAATAGGCTTTCCTGGCGACTTGGCAACCTAACTCTTCACCAAGAAAGGAATTTTTGGCTCCCCTGCATTTAGTCCAGCAACTTGTTAAATTGAATCGGTTTCCTTGGAACTTTTGACTTTGGAAAAAACACAAGAGATAGACGTACACGTTCCCCCTGAGTAGTGTAGTACTTGGAAATCATCCGACATGTGAAAGTTGTACAAATCGTTTGACACTGAAGGTGTCTTTTTGACCAGAACCACCGGAGACATTTCAGTGAATCCTGGCTGGTCTTCCTCAGTCTTACCTTACCCCCAGCCATCTACAAGAAGGCGCTGGTCATTCTCCACGAGGTGGTCATGCCTCACATGTCAAACCCACTCTTGCTGACCGACTTTCTGACCATTTCCTATAACATCGGTAAGAAAGCTTCAATTTCATTCTACAGTTACCTAACTTTTCAAATAAATCCAGGGGACCAGTATCAACTTCTTTCCGTTTCTTTCTTAAGGCCGCCACCTCTCCTTTTTCCCCGTTACTTTTTTTGTTTCCCGCTGGTTTGTTAATAATTTTAGGCTCAAAGATTGATGGTGCTTTATGTGTGCATTGGCAATGACTTTGTTTTATTCACACTGATTATAATGTGTGTCATTGTTTCTTACATGTGTTTCCAGGAGGTGCCATTAGCCTACTAGCTCTCAATGGCTTGTTTATTCTCATCACCAAACACAACTTGTGAGTCTCAGTCACATTGGAAAATACAGTCATTTGCAAAAGTTTAGGACCACTCGTACAAAACTGCATGAACCCGCAGAAAAAAAACAAATTCTGCAAATTTATCATTGGAACTTATGTTTATTGTCAACGCGTAACCTTAGTCTCTTGATTGATGAGTATTTGACTACATTTCTATGATTTAAAATGTTAACAGTCTAATATGCCCTCCTCCATTTCTGATGACTTAAAGTGGCTTCTTTTTACCCATACTGCATTGCAGTTAAAAATTCATACAAAACCTGCCTTTGCAAAATATTTCATTCGAATGGGCTGGTATCACAACTCTGATGTTATAGACCACTGTAAAAACATTTTATGTGATCATTCAGTGAGACAATAAAATGAAGGCCCAGTGACAGAAATACTAACAAAATTCCAGGTGGTCTTGAACTTTTGCAAATGACTGTGTGCTATGTGAATGTACACCGTTGACTTTGGAGGAATGCATGTAATGTTGCCTGGACTTTTACTTCCGTCAGAGGAATGGATTTTGTGGGTGTCATGGAAATGTCTACAAAACCATACTGAGTGGGCTATTTATGACTTCACAGAGGCATGCTAGAGATCAAGAAAACTGAAAACATTATTTGTGTTTATTAGAACTCTTCATCACATAGGTTTATAACTTGCTCCTACACCCACATGATCGCTATATCATTTTCAGTTAAAAGCAAAATGCTTGTTGAAACTTTTGGTTTTGTAAGATCGCAATGCTCATGTTTGACCTTTGAGAGAAATTCCCATTTTTTAAAGTTTTAAGAACAAAGTACTTGTAAGTTTGTTTCATCGAAAAGAATTTGTACTTTTGATTTTCTTATGCTGAACGAGTGCTATTTTCAAATTTCTGAATTTGACCAGAGAGTATCCAGAGTTTTACAAGAAGCTGTATGCATTGTTTGAGCCAGGCATCTTTCACGTCAAGTACAGAGCACGCTTCTTCCACTTGGTGGATCTCTTCCTCAGCTCAACGTAAGACAGTTTTAGTTAACTTCACTCGAAAAAAACAAATTGTCGTGCTCTGTTTTCTGTATGAGCTGGCAAAAGGATCATTTATAATTCTGTTTTTCATCAAAATCCTCCTTTTTTGTGAATAGGTAAAATGAAAAACTATTTAAAACAAACAAGAAAACAAAAACCTGCTACAGACTTCTTACCGATTGGAATAAACCTAAAATGGGAAATGTTTGAGGCCTCAGACTGATGTTTTGATCCTAACATTCTCTCTTTTTTGAGAAGAATACTCCTTTTTTATCCTGATTTTATCAGGATTGAATTATGGGTCCTTTCTATCTTTTTAATTAGATGTGAGAATTCCTTTGAAGTTTCAGGGTTGAATTAAAACTTAAAGCAGATCAATCTTCACATTTTGAAAAATAAACTTCTTCTAACTAGAATTTCATAAAATTAAAGAGTTCGAAGAACTAATTCAGTATAACATTTCAGCTGTTTCCATTTTAATTTCACAGTCATGTTTATATACATGCATTTTGTGTATTTTTTTTTACAAACTTGGTCAAACTTTGCCAAGCCACTCTCTCGTCCAACTCTGACAGAAGAAACGTGTCTTTTTTTTTTTTTAACAAACTCATCTGTTTGACATCAGGTACTTGCCAGCTTATCTAGTGGCTGCCTTTGCCAAGCGACTCTCCCGTCTAGCTCTGACAGCACCCCCTTCAGCCCTGATGCTGGTCATCCCGTTCGTCGGCAACCTGCTGCATCGGCACCCCAGCTGTCAGGTGATGGTGCACCGACCCGACGGTCCATCCGGTGAGTGCCTCTCGGTACTTGTTATGTCTTGGTTACTTGTTCAGGGTCCCCAATTGAATGCAGAAACTAACTCACACACAATAGTGTGTATTTGCCTGCAACTGGGGACCCCTATTGTTCCTCTTTTGTTTGTACTTTAACTTTTTAAGAAGACCACCCATATGTTTTGTACTCAGTTGTCAATCGGGGACCCTCTGTCAATCGGGGACCTTATTGTCCTCTATTGCTCAGGGTCCCCAATTGCATGCAGAAACAAACTCACATAGCCCAGAATGAGCACAAATTTCCACATAAAATGATGCATCTGGGGAAATGGGAGAACAAGCATGTGGTTGGAAATCATGACATTGAAATTGTGTGATCCATGACTTGTGGGTAAGGTAGGCATACTGCATACTCACTCTATCAAGACCAGTTGACACACTTAATCTCTATTTTATGATAGAACTTTCTTGTCAATCTTATGATCTTTCCACAATAGTGTGACACTTTGCTAATGATTTGTAGCTTCGCTTAAGTGATGCATTATACCTGAACTATCGTAAAGTAGCCCCAAACCACATTTTTTGTGATTACTCACTACAACATAATGGGCAGCACTGTTGAAATAGTTAAATAGAGTATTTGTTTTAAAAAATATTGCAAGAATTAGCCTAATGTAAGTTTTTGACTTTCAAAATAATGCGATCAATTTGAATGTGCAATTATGGCTTTTTCTTCAAATCTGTAGTTTTTGAAAGTTTGCTTTGTGGAATGATTACGTGAGCATGTTTCCGTATTTTCTACAGAACTGGCAGATGACCCTTGTATAATGGATGAGACAGACCCTGCCAAATGCCGTGCCATGGAAAGCTCACTATGGGAGATACAAACTCTCAAATCCCACTACCACCCAGGGGTGGCCACAGCAGCTGCATGGACCGACAGGCCCCTCCCTAAGGAAGAGTGGGACATCTCAGAACACCTGGAGTTGTCTACTGCAGAGGTGGGCTAGACCATTCTGTTTGAGGGTTGATTATGGGCACAGAGATCAGGAGAAAACAAATTCCTTGAAGAGAGTGGACCTCTGTGGTACAAATGTTTGTCTGGCTGAGATTGCTGTGATTAACTCTATTATAATTATTACAAGCATTGCCCGTGAAATTGCTGCCCATGGTTGATTTTCTCATGAATATTCATCATTCTTTTCTATATAGATGATTGGCTCAGTGACGAATAAGAAGATGAAGGCAGCTCCTGTTGAGTTTGAACCTCCTAAGGGACTATTCGGGGACAAAGAGGATACCTTTGCCAAGCTTTGGGCTTGTGACTAAAAAGTCATTCTCTTCATTCATCATTTGCCTTCAACCTTAAACTATCCGAAGTCTTTCAAACCCATCAATGAATCTTACGAGATTTTGATGGTTTAAAGACAATGGACTGCATTCTTGTGCATGGGCAGAGATTTCTTGTCACAAGTGGGAGGGGGGAGGATTTCTGAAAGCTCAGCACGGCCTCCATCCCAGGTGAGATCATGATGCTGGTAAGTGCCAAGTCTGGAGGTGCAGGCTAAGTGTGGGCTTAGTCAGTGACTTGAAAAGTCGGGGGGGGGAGATTATATTCGTAATTCCCCCCAGGTCACCCTCATCTCCCTTCAGGGTCTCCGCCCATGTTCTTGTGTCCGCCATCTTGAATTAAAAGTGAGGCAACGTTAACTTTTTCAAAACCTGTGATTAAAAATAGCCGGAACAGACTAAACGTTTATTATAAATTATCGCCACTTTACACTCAGAATGATTATAATTTGTGATAAAGTAACAATAACAGAACAAAATTACATTGAATATGATAGATTCAGGGAACACAATTGAAAATGGTTTCCCTGTGAATAAGGTCCAGTCGTTATTGCTTTCCAAAGGGGCTTAAAGATGAAAGTCGAATTTGTGTTTGTGTTTTAAGGGGCCAGTCAAATTAGCAAGGTTTCTTTAATGGCCGTAAAGTTCTTCAGTGTTTCACCTCCCCAAAACATGTTACAGTTTTGACTATGTATACAGGCATTAGTTTGAATGGACTAATAGAGTACTTTGTGTTCTTTACAAAGTTGTATTTCCTTTATAATGTTGAAAAATGGACAGATCAACCCTTTACCTGTCAGTTTTGACTTGAAAATGAACATTGCTCTTCATTTCAAAACAGAAATCATTCTTTGGTCTCAATCCAGTTTCTTACTGAAGAATAGGTCATGGAGTGCATAATACATGGGAAAATGTAAAACCTTCAATTCTTCTGATGTGACAATTACTTAAACAGCCTCCTTTTTACCGTGTTTTGTGCCTAAATGAATTCTTTGCCAATCGCTCCAATGGCCCAGATTTCATTTAAACTTGAGACCTACTAAACACTTCTCAGTTCTCATGATTTTGTTGTCTAGTGTTCTTCATCCCTTGATGAAATAACCTGACTGGTCGTTGATGGTGAATATATAGGGCCAAATTCCAAAGTGCTGCTAGGACACATTTTTTGGCTTACTGCGTCTGTGCACGTTTCACATTGGTCTTTTTTCAAGTCACTGATTTGTTAGGTTCCTAGTTTACCATTGAAACCAATTGAAAATTTGCAAAACATATCTTTGTATAAAGTGCAATGGAATACATCTGTGGTAGAACTTTCAGTTGCATTGAGGTCGGAGGGTGTCAGGTCAAGAAACTAAACTTGAAGTCTGGAATAAAAGCCGAGCTGAGATTTGGAAAGCCCTCATAGACTCAAGCAGTAAGTGCAACAAGGAGCACCGATCAAAGGCAGAATTTCTGTAAATATTTTTATAAGCACATCTCTTCTGTAAAATGCTCTAAAGGGTTTATTGTCCTTAAGGTGAAAGTGAAAGCATAAGGGAATCACTTTTGGCAAAAGTGAATGTCACAACCAAAAGGCAGTGCAGACTTTGTCAAGATGTTGCTTTCCCAAGAAGTGTTAACTTGCTCAAAGATCACACCGCAATTTCTCTGCTATGCTTAGGACGGGGCATCTGGTAACTGTTGGAGAATTCTGTAGAATTGAATCCTTTGCACTGTTAATGTCTGGCCTGTCTTGGACATTTGTATGTGACCCACCACTAAACATAGCCTTGATTACAGTTTCTTATTTTTGTCTATATTATTTGACTTTTTGAAAGATAATCTACAGCTTTCTTTACTGTGTGTTGGGAATTGCTAATTAATCCTGAAATATCGGGTGGCGAACAAGGAAGTTTCAAATAAAGTGTAGAAATTGAGAAGCCAACTCAGCCTTTTTGAAGTCTTTTGAATCAACGGTTTAACCTTGGGACTGAGGAGACTACCAGAGAGAAGGTCACTTCAAGAGCAGGAAATTTCAGGTTAAGATTTTCTGCAAAACTGTGTTCCGTAGTATCCTGGCAAAAAGTGACCAGGCATCCTAATGTGTTTTCTGTCTGGTTATTATTTTTCATTAAAACTGGATTGACTAAGGGAAATTTAAAGCCAACCCATATCAACATTTATTTGAAATCCTGACGAGTCTACAGGAAACAATGAAAACGTTTTGTACTTTTCTTCATTTTGGTATGTGTGCATGTATCTGTTGTAAACTTCAACTTCTGGAAAAGTTTGATATACTTGTACATGAATTCGAATTTTTCCTTTGGGAGATTAGATAATGCATGGCATGAAAAAAAGCCAAACGAAATGCTTGGAAACAGATTTTTCTAAATGAAAAGCGAATAATTTTGTCCTTTTCTGAAAGTCGTGATTTCCTTGTTTCTACATGTACTGATGCCCAAATGTAACACTTAGGATGCTCTAATTTTGTCGAAAGAGGGCGCTTCTTCCAACTGCCTTTATTATTATTTATTATCAGGCAGATACTCGGTACGCTAGACTCCGGGTACCATACACCAATAAATAACTTGGTTTGGGGCATGTGGTGAAAGTGTGCTGGAGTGAGTGGGCGTGAATATCCAAAGTTTCTCGCCAGAATGGTTGTAAAAGAGACAGTAAAGGGGCTGACTGAGTGCCTAGAAACAATTGACAAGTACAAAGGAAACGACTCTCTGTTTGTGTTGTTTTGTGGGGACAAAGATGCTTCAGGAAACAGTTGGTGTCCAGATTGTGTGGACGGTACGTAAAGTTAACGTTACAAATTGTCAATGCACGAAACTGTAAACGTTATTGCCCTGGCTACTTTTGATTGTGGATTTGCTCTTATGTGTAGATTAACCCTAAAACAGAGCTAAATCCTCCAATTTCAATATAATTTTACACACAGCCCAGGGAGTCGGGGTTAACTGATATGTTAGGCCTTCTTGTAATTTGGGTGCAGTCTGTAGATCTGCAAGTTACCTCCAGAACTGTGGGGTCCGACTTCAGCTCCGCTTCCACGCAGGGGTATAGGTATCTGCACGTTCATGTAGCTTTTTTTCGGTTGACTCTGTTAAATTAGAAATTGGGGGAAAGAGTTTCATATCCGAACATTACTTGACACCCTGGTATTAACCCTATGAAACTAATCTGAAAAATTCTGAGAGTGTTGGAAGTAAATGCTTCAATATCGTCCTTGCTAAATGTTGTGTTTTTATAATGTTCTGATGGCTAGTAATAAACATTCGCAAGGGCAAGGGGGAAAGATTTCCATATACGGACGCCACTTAACACCCTATGCACAAACCCTATGGGACTGGTCTGAAAAATTGTGTTTTCTTAGTAAACAACTTGTTTTTTTCCCTCCTAACTTGATCTTTTCTGGACAGTTTTTGCTTTCTGATTGCTAATAGGTCACAGTAGGGAATAATTGCTGCCGTTGGTTTTTGGAACTCTCCCCACCAAGGAAAAATTATTGATGTCCGTATATGGAACTCTTTCCGGAACCCTAATTAATCATGGACTTGACTTCCTCTGTCTGAGAGAATCATCCAGAGACACATATCAATTGTGCAATAGGTAGCTTGGTATTCGCATACCCTGTATATCTTTATGGAGCCTGAAAGTAAAAGGTCATGCAGCAAGCTTCCGGAACCCTTGCGCGGGCTTCCAGTGAGGATTTTACATTGGGCCGTCCTATCACGTTCGATAATTTTTGGAAAAAATGATTCCTTACTGAAACCACCCCATGAAACACTCATGTTGGAATTTTACCTTTGTCTTCCTCAAGTAATGTTTTGGAAAAGTCACATGGAGATGGGTAACAACTCATTTTATTAAAGACCTTTCACGTCCGGCGATATCGTACCTAGGTCACCTTGTTCATGCACATTTGTTTTCACTCGCTTTCTTGAAAATGAGATTGTACAACCTTGCAAAGATTTACCTGCACTGGATGGGTTCCAGATTTTGTTGAGCTGACATCACGCAGTTGTTGTCAGCAAAGGTTAGATAACATATCAGAATCTTTCGTAAAAGTAGAATATTGCTTTCTGTTTATTACCTTATAAATTATCAAAATGTGCGAAATATTTTGATCTGTTTTTATTTTGGTTTTTAACCACAGACTACCATAAAATTTCAAACCGTAAAGTATTCATCTGTGTACGAGACCGCCATATTGCACTGTTCTTAATGTATTTTAGATTTTCGAAAGTGATGGGTCAATTCACAAAATTCTGGTGATGAATTCATGGTATTCCTTTGGTATGACCGAGCAGTTAAGTGTTCTGAAAATCAGATTACATTTTACAGGCATCGTTTAAAAATGAATTCCAGACTGTGTCAGTCAAAATGTCAAACCTCTAAACGGATTTGGAACTTTTATTTTCATCTAAATATTTAAACTTGTCAACGTCCCATCCTTAGCTGTGATCTAGAAAGAAAAGGCAAATCAAACTGACCATGGTGACCAGCGTTGGGGTTGCACTTATCCAGTTATCAACTGTCAATCAAAACTTCCCCATCACACGTTTACTTCCTTGTTAAAATGAAACTCATTTTTTCCCTTCTCAGGTTTTGTTTATGAATAGGGAATCAAGAAAAAAGGCAGTCTTTGTACGCGACATTGAAAAAATGATGTTCCCTTACATTATGTAGAAAGAAAAAGGGCGTTTCTTTCCATGGGTCTTTGGACTAAGCCAAACACAATATGGTTTAGCATTGTCATTGACTTTTCCTACTAACATTTTGTCTTTTTCAGCTGAACCTTTCGTGACATCGGGCCTTGCCTCAGCTCCAGATGATGGAGTATTTATCTACTGCTCTGTTGGAGACCGAGCTTTGTGAGTACTGATTTCAAACCGGTATTTGATTTCCATCAAGGAACAAAGTTCAACAGTCTCACGGCAGCTTCACTCTTACTGGAAGTTTAGAGCATCACTGATTTGTTTTGGGAAACAAAAGTAAACACAGAAGAATTCCATATTGGACCGTAACAGTTTGTGAGTGTCATGAACATCAGGTTTACCCTACTTTTTAAATGCTTTCCCCCAGGTACTGAACCTCTGTCCTTGCTGAAATCCCCCTTAAATTAGCAGGCACCCCTTTTTAAGTCTGGTGCTTATGAAACCCCAAATTTATGTCTGTCTTCCCTCTCCATCTTGCAGCTGGAAGGACCAACAGAACGGATTCCGGACTCATGACAAATTGAAACTGTCTGCCGTGCCAACTCTGCTGAAATATGGAACGGTGGGTGATCAGAACTCACTTACTGGCATAGGAAATGAGAAATTCCTAACTATGCATCCCCATCCCTGCAAAGAAAGACGATCTTTGTGGTTGGTTCAAATAATGTGTTGTCACTGTTTGTTTTGGAAAATAGATGCAGTTACACTTTTCCCTCAAGTACAGAAGGCTTGCCATGCACAGCAAAGCTAGAAGGGACCCTAGGAGTCATTCACATGGCACTTTGAAACACACAGCATTGGGACCTCATTCGGTCTAGAAACATTGCCTTCAAACAAAAATTAGTATGTGTGACTGGCTTTAACACATAAATGTTCACACTTTGCACAGGTGCTAGGTCAAAGGGGAGTTGAATAATTCAAATGATTTAACATTTGACCTTCCATTCGGTTGAATATTCAAATGTAATAAAATGCCCACAAAAGCACAAACAAAATGTGCATGATTTCACCAAAAGTTAAAACACAAAAACTTGAAGGAAAAGTTGTTTCGTACCCTGCCCAAGTAGAGTAAAGCTTTGCAACACTGAAAAGTTCAAAAAATTTCTTGCCAAGGACTTTCTTGTAAAGATCTTTCAGTTTCCATGGATTAAACTTGTGTTCTAAAGTGCACCAGTGTGGTTCACTGCTGTGTCAGGCATCAGAAATTTATTCAGGTGTTGTAGGTACATACCGTAATGCCCCCGGATGCTCCAAATCTCTCAAGAGATTTTTGAAAGATTGGGTAGGATTTAGGACAGAAAAAAAGAAATGGATACACCATTGAAAAGTTTGCCATCGGCATCTTGCACTCTGAAATATTTTGGATGATTCAGTTTAGGTCTCTGTAATTTTTATGCTGTTAAAGCGAGTCGAAGTTCTGACACTTTTAACAAAGAAGTGTAATTACTTTTCTTTCTCTCTAGTCCAAACGGCTGGTTGAAGAAGACTGTAAGAAGTCAGACCTGGTGAAGATGTTGTTTGAGGATGAAGATTGATTAGACGGCCCTGTATTTGAATACACCAAGAAGGAGTCATTGCATGTATCACGCTGTACAGAACTTTCGCATGCTCATTATGCAGTTCAGATACATTCGTCATTGCCAAGCATATAATGATGACATATTGATTCAGCATCATGGATGTCTTTAAATAATTAAAGCAGAAAGAATATTATCTACTCTACAGGTCACTACCATACAAAACAAATTCTCTTCAGAGACACAAGTGTTTAAAGACAACAGAAATGATAGAAAAAGGACAAAATTGCTCTTAAAACTACTACTTCTTTCAGCGACCAAAGCAAGTCCCATCAGAAGCCTAGACACAATTATTATTTGATTTTATCTTAGGATTCTTATATCAGCATTCATGTCAAGGTACAGATGTCTTTTCAAGATCCTGTCTTCCATATTATTTCTATTTTAAACCTGAAACATTAAAGCAACCAAGCACAAAGTTAAATCAGTTTTCCTTGTGCTGGGTTTGATACCTGGAGATCTGAAACTCTCAACCCCCTATAGGGCAGGTACCTGACTAATTTGTTTGAATTTGCAACCCAGAACCTTACTAGAATTTGACTGAACTGTTCTGAAGGGGGGAACAATTTTTTGTTCATCAGTCACAAGGAAAAACAAGATAATAAAAGTGAGAGAAGTAAACAGAGAAATTTGTGTCCAAAAATTGCTTTGCTTCAAGTCTGGTTGCTCCTGATTTCCCGCGGTAACTCAAGGGGGGGGTTACTCTGTTTGGAATCATATCGAGAAAAAGCTTTACTTTCAATTTTGTCAGGTTTGAAAAAGAGACCAGAAAGGTTTCAAAAAAGTGTATCTGGTTCCATTGAAACCCAAAGAAGTACACCCGATCTCCATCCACGCTTGACTTCAATTCAAATGTTTTAATAATGCTATAATGCTATAATAAAAATTCCTTTTGAACTTTTGCAATAGGGTAATTCCAGAATTAGGGGTCCATTTTCTTTGTGTTTCTTTTACCTCTGACATGATTTTGTAAGTTCAGAACACTTTTCTAATTTCCAATGGTGCTAAATTGATGCAATTTACCTGCCAAACAAATAGTAATAGTTTGAAATCAATTCCGGTGATATTTCCATGTCAAATAACAACAGTCAGATGTAACAGGGACACAAAAATATCACACTTTTGAACCCCTAATTTCTGGAATTACCCAATACCAGGAATCTAAGTTACTTAACTTTTATGACATTTTGATTTTTTCTTCTCTGGAAAGTTGTGAAGTGAGTCTGCAACAAAGAGGCTATAAATTCAGCAGCATTGCTGGGTGCAATCAGACAAAAAGCACAGTCCCTCAATTGCATAGTGCTACCAGTCAATC